TCAGAATAATTGCTTTAGATACCTTAATAAATCCCCTTATCAAGCAAACAAATCATGAAATAATCTCTACCTGAATGAATATCTGCATCACCTTCAAACTTCAAATATTTCCTGTGACAGCAAAATGGAACTTCTGTACAGTAGCACACAGCTATAACAAACATGACGGGGTCCACGCTAAATGTTCTGTACCCTCTTGTGATGCTATGATTTGCTGTTTTCGGGATGTTTTGCCATTGCATTCACATTTGAGGTTTCTAGAAATTCATCTGTTATTTATTTTTTTTATTAAATTTTGAGTTACAAAATTAATATTTAGTTTATCCTAAAAGTCGTGAAGCTACCGCTCAGGATTGATCACTGATGCATGCTGTGGCGAATCTCTATTGATTTGCAACTACACAATGTTTGGTAGGTTTGTACACAAAATATTGGGAGCCAAGGATGATGCTTGGTACAGCTGAATGTTCCGTATAGCGGTGTTTGGTATAGCGACATTCCACTGTGGTATATTACCATGGAAAAGAGCTTCTATTTTGCAGTTCAGCCAGCCTTGGTTAAGATGAAAACTTCAATAACGTATCAGCAGTAATTCATCAATCAGATGAAAGGGACGTATTCAGGTTTTTTTCACATGAAATGCCTCAAGACATCATTCACAAGTACTGCTGCATACAGTGAACAGCAAATGGTAGCTCGAGCAAACCTTGCATGTTATGTTTCTGCAGTCAAAGAATATACAATTAATGAAAATTTATCATCTGAAACACTGACAAAATCTCTAGTAGATTTACCTTTGTACTGGCTTGTTAGCTCTATTAACAGTGGGAATATGAATTCCATTCTCCTCATTGATGACCATCTGTGCAATGTTAGGTGATGAAAACGATCTTTTCAAGCTGGATTGAGGCGTTCCTGAGTTGTCTGATTTCAAGTGAGTCTTGGTGGTGGAAGATAAAGTTGTCTGTTTTGCAGGAGATCCTAGTGAACAACAAACACGATTCCATTACACACATTAACCCTCCTATGCTAAGATACATTCTTGACACAGTTGTCATATCAGTCAAAATCAGTCAAATTTCCCATACGTGTCTGTGTACTGGGGGAAATCAAGTGGAAGGCATTTTTGACGGTTAAAACAGAAGGAGGGTTAATGGTAAAAATGAGTCACATTCTATTTCGTCGGTGATGACACATTGCATGTCTTCCATTCTCTTTTGCTGGTCACAGATGAATCACACTAAAATAAGAAATTTAGGCCTGCTGATCAATTTGAGGTTAAATTGTAAAAAATAAAACTGAAAATGTGAAATGCTTTGTTGTTTCAGTGAATCCTTCATCAGTAACATCAATTACAAAGTTCCCTTTCTACAAGTGTACTGTACCTGAATCTTTAGTCTCAGGCCTTTTGGCAGAAGAAACTGTTGAACTAGGCCGTGTTGATGATACAGCAGCTGTGGTTGTAGATGCTGCTCCCCCTGATCCCATAGCAGGAGGACTCCAGTGAGTAGTCTCTGTGTTGTGATCAATGTAGTAATATTTGTTGCTGGCAGGGTGAAGCTTCTTCTCCCAGCCAACAGGTAATGTTAAAGCAGTACCTGATGCCAGCTTAGCATTCTGCATGGAGCTGGAAACGGTTGGGGCTGGTGTTACAGAAGTGATTGACATAGACGGGATGGATCTCTGGTCAGTTGGTTGAGCTGGCTTTCCGGCATCTGCTTGTGGTATTTTGGAGGTGCCCACCTCCCCTTGTAATTGTGGCTTTGAACCTCCTTTAGCTGGAGAACTTGAAGTTTCTTTTACTAGTTTAGCTACACCTTCATCCTGAATTTTGACATCTCGGTGTATGCTTGCACCAATGAGATGGGTTTGTGAATTTAACTCTTTATCACTTTCAGTCTTTTTTCCTTCTGTTGTCAACTGTTGCTGTTCATCTTCAGCTTGAGTTGCTTTGTCTTGTTCTTCCAGCTGCTCCTGCATGCGTTTTAGCGCTGATACCTTCAACGGAAATTAATAGACTTACAAATCAGTACACAATATCAAAGCAATCCACTATGACAACAAAAAATTGTCGTGAAATGTGAAACGGTTTTGCTCTGTCCACAAGATTTAGGAGACGACTTGGTTTTAAATGTTCCATGAATTAGCTGAAGAAATAAGGTGTTGATGCCTGTTCTACAGACTAGCAACTGTTGTTACAGTCTTCTGAACATGTCTACAGGCTTTGGACACAACGAATCATTCACTAGCACATGACTAGTGACAAGATGCAACAAGGAACAATTGGAAAACCCCCTACCCACGCAACCAGCATATGGAACATACATGTGTATGCCCATCACAACAAGAAAGCATCTACCTTTTTGTGGGGGGGCCACAGCATTGAATTCTTAGAATTCAACAGAAAATAATCAAGTGGGAATGAATTGCCATTTCCTTTTGTACATTCTGACATCTCACTTGTTACAGAAGCACCAATACTGATGAAGCAGTGATTATCTGAATGCAAAGGATTGCCAACTGCCTCTTGCCACTCCCTCAGCGTAACCTACTTAGATGCTCAGGGAATAGAGAGGTAGGTATTAACACAAGTTCAACCTCACCCCCTACATCACGTGGCAACGACTCACTTATTAGGTCAGAAAAAAAAATTGTCGGTCTCTGGTCAGCGCGCGCGACAATATTGAACATGCGAGTCAATGTTTTTTTCTCAAAATTGTCAAAACAGCACCCACTACTTCCACACCGCCCGAATGTTCGTGAGCAGATTAACTCCCGGCCACAAGTCCATAAGTCGGAAGGGCAATTTGTTCAAAGAACCAGACTAATTTGTGGGTAGCTCGTACCCGGTGATATTTCTGTTACGACTGCGTAATGTTGATGTCGAACACAAACAGTAGACCATGGGTAGGTTGCAAAGTTGCAGCCAGCTGATCAACAACAATGGTGGCACTAGCCTTCTATTAGCCTTTGCTCTTTGATTAAATATGCCACTCATTTCCGTGTCCGTTGCCAGTCTTAAAAAGCAAATCCCATCTGCCCCTAAAAAAAAAATAAAAAAAAAAAAGAAAATCAATTCTGAAACTTTGGTCTGACCAGAGACCGTGTATTTTTTTGGCCTTAGAACTACAACTAGTCCTGCATTTAACAACTCATGTGCTGAGTGTCCTTCAATGATTGTTAAAGCCGCAGACATCAAGTACATCAAAGGCATAAGTTTTTACACCTACATACCCACTCTCCATTCAACAAATTGAATGAAATATGCCTACTTGTGCTGGAGAGTACAGAATTTTAACTTACTCCATTAGGATAAATAACAGAAAGGCAGCGCAGCAATCTATACCCACAACAGGTTTAAATATTAATCTAATTCCTCTGCCTAATTTTTAAGTTACTGAAGTGAAATCATTATGGATGAAATTGAGTCTTCCAAATACTTGTCCTACTTATGCTGGCATTGTTTACAGGCCAAACATCTGTAACGAGTTCTTTGAGGAACTGGAAGCTGTGCTGGATGAGCTAACAGGGCACAATGCAGCATTTAGAACACAGGGAGAAATCATCTCCATTGGGAATTTTAATTGGACATTAGTACCCCTAATGCTTAGCAATGGACAGAACTGCATGTTTAATGTCAACAAGACATTTAACACAAGTCACAATCCAAACTTCCTAGGATTACATGTTCTTAAGAAACTCTCCTTGACCACGACTGGACTACCCATTTTAATATGCACTTATGTTACTGTGTCTTACATGTATCATCAGTGATCACTACTTAATTTACAAAGTTGGCATGGCATTGAAACATTCCAAGGAGCCCGAGGGTATGAGCAGGGCTCGGTAATATCAAACATTCAATGAAGAGAACTTTATGAATGAATATAGGATCATCTCAAAAGATTCTGAAATTTTCACGAGTCTTGACATGGCCCAGAGAATTTTTGAGAACATTTTCACCCAAATCTGACACAAACATGTTCCTTTGAAATATGTCATGATTCTTGATAGGACTCCTTAATAACACAATGATGACCACCTTATAAATTAATGAAACCTCACACTCAAACTACCAAATCTCAAACTGATTGGGATGCATTCTATCACTAGCAGCTCAAATCTCTGAATATTTGTAGATGAATTTTCTGACTCAGGACACATATATAAAACTTAGGAATGCTGATTGGTGCCCAAGCAAAACTAGGCCAAGGAGAGGGTTTACCTATAGAGATCAATGACATTGCCATTAATAATAATATTACTCAATTTAAGTACCTCCAATGAGTGGAACGAGCACATCGATAGCCTTGTTGAGGAAGTCAAAAGGCGTCAGGGGATTCTCCAGAAAATCAGTGTTCTCCTTCAACATACTTAAAACATTGTATACAAAACATTGATCCTTCCTTATTTTGATTAGTGTAATGTTATCTGGAGAACTCTTAACCACTTCCTGCCCGGGACTCCGGGATCGGAGACGTATGGTTCATATGGGTGGCCAGGGTCTCCGAACTCGGACAAAGGAAACAGGGCCCTGTAACAAAAGACCGCACTCCGAACAAAAGACCAGGCTGCTGGGCATTATTGACATTTTTCACTCTCAAAAGTGGTGATAATCCAGCCCTGTTTTGAAATCGTATACCAGGGTTTGGGGCATTGTGAGCGAGCGGATTACCACCGGGGACAAAAGCGCTCCACCACCGCAGCGATGAGCCACACAGCACCGCTGCATGCTAATCTGGCCCCTATTGAAAAGAGGTCAGCAGTGCACAAAGCCAGGTTCGTGAACAAAAGACAGTTATACAACACCACACAATCTGGGCTCTGTTTACAAGGCTGCTGGCCTGGCTAAAATACTCGGGCATCAATGAAAGTCACCTGTCAACTTAGAGTAGTGCCTAAAGATTACTTGGTGTGGCTATAAACGACC